ATCTGACTGATTTCAGGAGATGTAACAAAATCTCCTTGTCTGCCAAATACATCACCCACCATATAGTAACCACTAAGGGAACTTGTCAACACCTCTTTCATATATTGTGCAATTGATATAGGTCCTGTTGCCTAATGAAAAAATTTTTTTCAATTAATTCAATTAATTCATGAAATGAAAATTTTTATAGATCATTCCTTTAAAAATTACCCTAATCGATTTCATAAGGTGATCTTTTAACTCATTTTTCTTTGTCGAATAATAATATCTTGAAATATTAAGATTAAATAATGACCGGCTGCAAAAAACTCGATACATAGCTTGGATTTTTCAATGTCAGATTACTTTTTAGTCGGTTTTAAATCACTAATTTTTTCGTTCAAGTTGACAATAGGTCAACAGATCGAAAAGACAGCTAAGCAGTGATGCGATCACATGGGTGTCCCGATTCCAACAAGAGAATCCGGTATATGGAGGAAGATAAGTATAAATTTAATGAAATTACTAATTTAGGAGTTTATGGCACTTATAGTTAAAATAGGGAACTAATCAAATGATTTTAGGAGGCTTTCCTCAATGTAATTTGCCGGTGCTCGAGATGCCACTCAATTATTGCTGTTAATTGAAGTATCTTTATATAATTTTACCAAAATGTTCAAGGATGTTTTTGGTTGGTTGCCACAGTTGGCTATGATTTCTAAATATGCAAACTCGGATAATTTCGGGTTTGCTTTTAATCGAAGTAGCCATTTAAAGTGTACCATTTTGCGGTAAATTTTAGTTGCTTAGCCGCTTGTGTACCAACATTTTTGCATTTAATGATTGGTGTTATAAAAAGTTTGATCAGCGTAAGCGTAGCCAATGTGTGATCATGTCACGTTTTGCGCAATCATTTGTTAATTAGAGATTGACGTTTCTATTTGCATTTAACGTATATTATACCACGATTACGAAAAGTTTATTATACCATTAGGGTAGCTGCGCGGCGCGTGACGCCGCGCAGAACCAGTACAATCGTGCACAAGTTTCTAAAAGAAAATACGTCACCAGCTTTGAGAATTTCAACATTACTCATCGCTATTTGAACAAGATATACATTAGATTAGAATTGAATATACGAATATCAGATATACAGTAAATGCTACTTTTTGCAAACTCGGTTTTCTCACGAATTTTATTTACGTATAATCTTTATATTGTAATTCACCAGAAATAATATACGAGAAAATTTCAAATTCTCGATGTGGATGAGTTCCAGATCCAGTGGTAGGTTGCACTATGTCTTCGTTGATCACTCTTAGGGATCCGAAACCTTGCAATTTATAATCAAAGTAGGATGCGAACGAGAATGTATGATGGGTATCAAGCCAACCATGATTCGCATAACCTTCGAAATTTGATATAATTAGCAAAATAAATTTAATTAGTTTTTTTGTTAAAAATTATTTGCATAGTCATCTTTCTATATAATCTATATAATCACAATCGAACACATAGTGGTTTTGTTCAAATGTGTATGTGATATAAAAAGTTATAAAGATGATCATGTAGAATGTGACTATATGGGTAAATGGACTGTACGTAAAATTCGAAAAAAAAATCGAATTAACATGTACAAACCTCTATCTTCGGATTTTCTTATGACAAGCTGAGCACTCATTTTTAACGATTTTAATTTTTCTTGTATTCTTTATTTATTTTATTAGCTTTGCTTGAGCGATGAAATTGATCAAGTTCTCTTGACAGATATTATACTTTTTTAAGATAGCACACGTTACGCAGTTTTTTTGTTATGATCTGATGACTATCTAGTAAATCAGAAATTAGTAATCAAATATCATTAGAAATGGTGACACAGGTTTTCCTCAATTACGATTATTAATAATCTCGAAATTCTGATTAATTTACTCCTTCAGAGATAATTATATATTAAAAAATTCCAATCTTCATACTTTAAAATTTTTTATACTAAAAAAAAACACTAAGTAAACAATAAATCGCAAAAATAATTCAAAAAACCATTAGTTAGAAGGGAAAGACTTATAATAAAAC